AGTTGTCGCTGTTGTTGCGGCGGACCGACGTGCGACCAGCCCAATCAGGCTATTGCATGTACTGCCTGTCGGCGACGCGCCGTGTGGGCCGCGGTGTGGCCGCAGGCAGGTTGTCGCGAGGGGCGGGCTCTGCGCGGCCTTTCAATGGATACGGATACTTCCCCAGCAGGCGCCCTTTTGTTTCTCTCTTTCTCTCCCTCTGTTGCCTCCTCCCTCTCTTTCTCTCTCTCTCCCTCGCCCCCACCCCTCTCTCTCTCTCCATCCCCCCCTCTCTCACTTTCTCTTTCTCTCCATTACTCTTCGCCCAATTAGTCTCCTCTTCTGCGTCCTTCCACAATGCAGCTGTCTGAGGTGCAAGGGAGTTTTGGCCTGGGAAGAAAGGCGCGCGGGCTCAGCTGCACTTCACACTGTTGAAATTTCGTTTTACAGCAATAGTTGGGTAATTTGGAGATGAGCTGGAACGGAAGTCGAGAAGAGATCAAGAAGAACAATTTAAAAGTAAGATGAACTGTGAGAAAATTGCTCTACGTAAGCGGCAAAGCGGCGTCGCGACGCTTCTCACAAATTTAGCACACTTTGTTCTTCTTGATTTCTTTTTAACTTCTCTTCCCCAAAGTACTCTTTATTTTTGTAGTACGCACTACATTATTTTGACAACACTCTCAGTCTCGTATTGACTTTTTATCTCTTACCATAAAAGCTTTTCGTGCAAACGTAACATATACTATTTTCTCTTTAGCTAAACAATGTAACTTTTAAATTTCTACATGATCTATTGACAATTCTATCTCAAAGACGATCAGAATTGTGCATAGTTAACGAGAAAATAGTACATTTTACGTTTGCTCAAAAAAAACTATAAGCAAGGAGAGAAAAAAGTCCATATAGGTTTGAGAGTGAATGTTTTCCGTGGCCTCACACTTTAGAGCATGCGATTTTTTTCGCACAATGTTGAACACAGAATGGCACGATAGTGCGAAATCGCGCACAAATTTCTACGAAAAGCACCCATGCGCTAGATCGTGTGAGACGCAAAGTACTCCTAAAATGGTATAGGAATGCAGCGTGTAAGATTTGCACATTCTGTTCCAGTTGGCAGAAAGGCTGAGCAGTAGCGCCACTGTGCCTCCCCGCGCCGCCACGCCACCGGCCGCGCCGCGCCGACCGTCCAGCAGCTGGCCTGAGTCCCCTGCGGAATCCTGTGCGGTGCGCTGCCGAGCGCTGCAGTGCTGCGGTACACCAACAGGACGAATGCGGACGCACGGGCCGGACCGAGGCCGACGCAGTGGGTGACCCAGCGGGTCCCACGGACACCGTGCCGCCCTCATCGCTCACCGTAACTGATGGTCCCTGATCACGCCGCGCCAAACTTATCAACGCTCGGAGCTGACACTGCTGGAAATATTGGAGGTAAGAGTGCGGCACGAGTGTTGGCAGAACTGAACGACGGGGGACGACCGAGACCGGGGAGGTGTGCACTCTCAAAACCAGTGACACGTCTTCAAGACTCTATCACACCTCAAAATTACCTGAAGTCGGCCAATAATGGCCTAAAACAACCCAGAAAAAATTATAATTCGTAGAATTTTAGCTATTGCGCGAACTTTTACGCGTCCTTTCGCGGATCGAGTGACCTGACGCCAGTGAACACCTCCTCGCGGACGACCTCTGCAACATTTGTCGCGGAATTGTAACTTGAGGAACTGGCAGGTATAGGGCGTGAAATCTTGTGACCTTAGAAATCTGTTACGCTACGACGTGGTGTGGATGGAGGAAGTGTCGACAGCAGGGTGTTTCACGTTTTCAGGAATTGTCGATTTTCTTGAGTGCCACTTGAAAATCGACTACCTATTCAAACTCCAAAAGCACTCCGGTTTCAGGGTTTCCAAAATTTCGCATACAGGTTGCTTAAATTTGTATATAGTGGAGGGATATTTACCTGATACCTGTCTGTTAAATTTTGTTATGACAGAACTCAAACGCTTTATTCAGTATTTCCCTGGCTGCTTTTCCTCCTGTGACGGCTGGCTGGACGCGGGTTGTAATCCGCCGGGGTTGAGGTTCTAGGGTGCGCGCACCGTCGTGGTCGGCTGAATCAGCCTTCGTGCGCGCGATAGCTCGGGGCTCGCGAAATGTATTCTCAATTATGATAATGAGCGCGTGATGGCGGCGCGTGTCAAGGCGGCAACGTGAAAAGGTTATTCTGGAAGGAGTGGGGGAGGGGGCAAGTGCGGGTCACCACGACGGGCCCTCTCAAACAGCAACACTGTGCTGAGTGTTTCGCCTGCAAACAAACCGACGTTGCCGGGATAATGGTGGTGATTAAGTGGCCACAGTGCTGTAAACCCCGCCACGCACCGCCACGCCCCGCCGCGCCCCGCCGGGGGAAATGAGCCCCCTTGTTTATCGGGTCTGCAGGGTGCGCTGCATCTTAAGGGAAACCCCCAAGATGGTTGAACTCGCTGACGCCCGCAACACAATCGGCCGTTTACCGTAAGCCGTGCAACAAACACACCAAATGTTTTTGTACAAATTTTGTACGAGACATCACAGTTTTTTGTGCACACGAACTTATCGTACAAATTTGTACGAAATTTTGCACAATAAGGAGAAATTTGTGCAGTTCTTCGTACCAAAATTGTACGAAAAGTTCGTGTGCACTAAAAACTGTGATGTCTCGTACAAAATTGTACATAATATTTAGTGTGAAGAGAGCAAAAACGCCTGCTGGAAAACTGTCAATCTGAGGAACTACTACTGGGGCACGAGAGTGGTCTTACGCGATATATTCGAGAAAAGGAAAAAAGAAAAGAGTAGGAGAAGCAAATACGTTCCTTAATCAGTTCACATGTCCTGTATGACAAATTAATTTGTCAGAAAGTCAGTGTACAGAATGCGTTTCTGATCTACACAAACATTCAGAACACAAGTTGATGTTTGCATGGAATGGCTTGTTTTCTCACCGATAGGGCTTCACGAAGAGTCTCACTGTGCCGATGTGCGTTGATTTCACTGACGACGACGACGTAAAATTCTTTAGAGCACTTCACTGCACTGTCATCGCCATCTCAGCACTGCCGCAGTTTGACGTTGGATGTGAATCTTGTACGCGCCGCGGAAGCGTGGACGGTCGTTGTCTGCTTCGCGAGGCTCCCTTCTCGGTGGACCTCTATGGTTGGACCTCCCCGGTTGGTCCTTCTCGGTTGGACCTCCCCGGTTGGACCTCCCCGGTTGGACCTTCACGGTTGGACTTCCCGGGTTGGACCTTCACGGTTGGACTTCCCGGGTTGGATCTTCACGGGTGGACCTCCGCGGTTAGACCTCCCCGGTTGGACCTCCCCGGTTCTCACCGGATAGACCTCACCGGTTAGACCTCGACGGTTGGATCTTCCCGTTCGGCCCTCCACTGTTTGACCTCTTCGGTTACACCTCTCCGGTTGGACCTCCGCGGTTGGTCCTTCCCGGATGGACCTCCCCGGCCGGCCACCGCGCTGTGGCTCGGCTCGGCGCGCGCTCGGCTCGGGTCTGCGCGCGAAGAGGGGTTGGAGCGAGCGGGCGGTGCGGAGGCTGGCGGACTACTGAGCCATATACTCTCGGGGCGAGTCGGCCGAGCCCCGCACCGCGTCGCGACCTGCCCCAACCGCGCCGCGCCACCCCGGCGAGCCTGGCCAGGGCCTGGCGGGGCGGCCGTCCGGCCACAACACGCGGCGCAGCGCCCCTCATGCTTGGAATTGATTCGGGCGGCGATTTCGCGCTCAGGGTTGTTTTGCGGACAGCACTGGAAACAAGTGGAGTGGTCGGGCGGTGCGGGACGAAGCTTCCTGTTATGCGAAGACCAGTGCGTCAGGGGTGTCTGGCTCTGAAACTGGCATTGGAGTCCCAGCAAGTCCTCAATGTCTTTGGAAGGCCATTTAAGGTGGCAGTACGCACTGAAAATAGCTGAAATATTTGGTCGATAGAGTTTAATCAAGCTGTTCCTCTTTCAAATAGTTCTCCATTTAAGTTGTATTATAGCATGGAGAATTTCTTCAACTACGCTTGGGGCGTCAAGCAAAGTTTGTAAACAATGTATGCTTGAATCAAGCATACAAAGAAGCTTCGTTTTACGAACTAAAAATTTTTCGATAAAAATTTTCAAGTTTGTTATCTTGTCAAAATACTTCGTAATTTTAAAGTGAGAGATGCATTAAACCTGAGAAAAACTGTTACAAACTTTCTCCTCCCCCCCCCCCCCCCCCCGGGACTCTCTTTCAAACTATTTTCTTTTCATTGCAAACTAGTACTTCGCAATTTGCAGATAAAATACTTGGCTGCGTTGAAAACTATTACTTTTGTTTTTTTTTGGTGTCGCAGTGTTACGAAGTTTTGAATTCGCATTTTTCTAATTACAGTCAGCCCTTTCCTTTTGTCCCACTTTGCCCAAAATGTAGTCGATTGAAGTGGCTATTGCAAATGAATTTAAGTCGACTATAAGACAAAAATTGCATCCAAAGATATGTTTTGCAGGACAAAAACAACGTTCGGATTTCCCAGGCGCAACCTGGATAAATGCGCTGTTTTTCCAGGGTGCGCCTGGGAAACCTGGACGTTGGTTTTGCCGTGTGATGGTCCATCTAAATTAACCAAAACGCGGTGTGCCCTTAAATTTTATTCGAGTAATAATGAGTCGATGTTTGTGGTCGTAGTCCACGCGACAACTTCAATTACCTACACTTTGGCGCTTCATTTTTGCGGATTTTGAAGCAATCGCAGAGGTCAGTTTTTGAGGATAAAAAATGTACGGACGGCTTTGTGTCCCTTCGCGCTGTCTTGTGCACTTCAGCATGCCTCACCGGCCGGTTCTCCCATCAGCACGAGTGAGCGGACGCGCCTGGGTGGTGCTTCCCTCTCAGCGCCGCCGTCTCTACCCCTTGCGCCAAGGGTCCAAGCACGGGGTATCGCTGGTGGGGCACGTGGGGTTAGACTCCGCGTCGGTGAGGTCCATGAAGGAATGAACAGCCTCAAGGGTCTCTTATGTCACTTTATTAAAGCTGCATTCCATGTACAACAATTATAACAAACCATAACGCAATCGCAAATCAAAACAAAACAATTCGAACGAGAGCGATAAACATCAACCACTACAGGAGGATTTTAAAAAAATTACATATTAAGTAACAATTAGGGATTGAATCCCTACTTATTCACAAGAGGGGCTTCCGTTATTCTAATAATACAAGAATCACATCATTCTTTAAGTCTTTGGTGTCTTTGTCAAGCTATTAAAACACACCAACTTGAACAAAGTGTAATTTCAAGAGAGAAAGGAATCAAGACTTTACCAAAGTAATGCATGTAGGTTACACAACGTGCTGTGAACAATTGACAATGAATACAAGTTCAAGGAAACACAATTCACCAAGGTTCAAATGACGATGAAAACAACGGCGGTGCCACTCCGGCAAAAAGCAGGTGTCTGTCTGAGAATGTCTGTGGCAAAGTGTCGATTTCGTTGCTCTCTTGGGATACAAGAAATCAATATCTAGTTGATAGGCCAAAACGTTGCCTCTGGTGCTGTAGGTCCGGCGTGTGGATTCAGGGTTCACATGGTGACGGCAGCCGGGAACACGTCCATGGGGGTCTTGGAGCTGAGGAAGGCGGGGTCCACGGAGGCCACCTTGGCCGTGAGGAAGGCGTGCATGCAGAAGAGGAGCCCCTGCAGCGTGGAGCACTCCATTTCCTGGAAGCAGAGTAGAGGTGAAGATCCCCTGAATCGCCTTGCCACACAGTGGGCCCGGTGGAGGCGGTCAAAGTCGTCGCTAACTGGGACTCGAACGAAACCTGTGACCCCACCAATGAATTGCTTCTCCTGAGAGCAATCCATTGGCGGGGTCTCACGTTCGGTTCGAGGCCTATTTCGCGACGCCGGAGCTACAAACCCGTTCGGCCAAAACTTGTCTAACTTCACTGGGAAAACAAAGGAATAAAACCCAACAGGTCGTTAACGATTGACAACCCTTGAACGGCGTTATTCGATGTATGCCCTTGGTTGGAAGGGGCGTGAATGAGAAGAGGACATCTACCCAAAGTTTTGACCCCCCTCCAAAGGTATGACATACTTTATTGGCTGAGCGATAGCGAAGCCTGTTACTCTATTGGGGTTGAAAAGTTTTTCCTGTCTGTCTGTCCGTCTGTCTGTCTGTCTGTCTGTCTGTCTGTCTGTCTGTGTTGTGTGTGTGTGTGTGTGTGTGTGTGTGTCCGCACTACTCCTCCTGAACGGCTCGGCCGATCTCGGTGAGATTTTGCACACTTCTTGGGGATGTCCTTGGCTCAGCACACGCGAAATTTCACCATCCTAGCTTTACTGGTTCAGTTTTTATAGCCGAAAAACACCTAAAAAACGGCGAAAAATCGAGTTTTCTGCAGGCAGATCACTTCTGTCTTGAAGAAGGGGGGTCTGGGGGGCGGGGCCCCCCAGTATGCATCAAGTTAGAAGTAACCGACGATGGAAAAGCCATTGCCTGCCGAAGGCAGGCTAGCGCCGCAGGCCAAGGTAGGTACGCCAGGCGCGGATTGGAGGAACAGGCAGCGAGACATCGCGAAGCCTGTTACGACAAGACGCGGTCTGGCGTAAACCTACCACAGGGTGGCCCCATGTCAGGGAAGCCGGGGAAAAAGTCAGGGAAAATCACAATCGTCGGAGACAGATTTTGAAGTGTGGTCAGAAAACGTATCTACAGGCTGACAATAGAGACCGTTGAAATCAAATGATCGTCGATACAATGCGTTATTGTCTTTTTGCTCGCTCCACTCGCCTCAAAAATACTGAAAGTGGTTACAAGCAACCGTACATGATCCATCCTTTTCACTACTTTATCTCTGTATGTATTGTTCAGGTTTGGTCAGGGAAAGTTGAAGACGGGTCAGGGAAATCGTCAAGGAATTTGGTTATCTAGAGTTTTTAAGAACTTAATTTTGTGCATTTGTTTCCTCAAAGTTGAAGTTTCATTTCCCCAATTTATTTCATACGAGAACACAAACTATGTGAAATTTCATGAGTGCCCCAACGACCAGGTCCTTACCTTGGTATCAATCAGTCTGGTGTCAGGTTCTTGGAAATGCAGCTTGAGTCTTGCCTTGCCGTCGTCGGAGGAGCCCTTGAGCTGCGAGAACTTGTACTTCCATAGATACACCTTGGTCTCCGAGTCGTACAGGGCGAAGCCCATGTTCCAGTCCAGCGTCAGCCCGGCCGTTTTGCCGGCGGTCGTGGTGACGGTGAAAGTTTTACTCTGCAACGGAAAAGATTGTGAACTGTCTGCAGAGTCCTTTCTGACTAGCAATTGAGTGACTTGTACATTTTCTCATTCATTTTACTACTAGCTCACGACCCCAATGACCACAAACTAAAGTAATGTTGAAATTTCTAAAGCATCACAAAAATCGAAAATCGCTTGGGTTGCGTAGAACTTGTTTTAAGGCAAAGTCGCCTTTCAAAACCGACTCGTTAATTTGACTAAATCTGGTGTGTTAAATTTGGTAGGGACATGTGTCTTTAGTTCAAGGAATTGATTCTTTGCAAACGGAATTAATTCTTTGTACGTGGTTTTCCAGTGACCGACTTCGTCTGCAGAACCCTACTTATCACCAAAATTGTACGCTGATGACCACCGTTGTTGCGTGGCTAAATCCGAACAGATCGGTTGAAACGATGTCGAATCGATGTTCATAATAGCTCTCGTTTCAGTCGGTTTTTACAAATTATTTCTCACTGGAAAGTATCACCCCAAGGTCGCATGCCCATTGCCTTCCAGTCTTGTCAATTGGCAGAGTCAAATGACGCTAACGCCGAACGATTCTAGGTACTGTTTAAGGCAAGGACACAATGCAAAGAAACACAACACTTTATCCTCCTTACGCCTAATTTCATGACTGCGCAGCACACTGCCTGGTGCCACGCGTTCTCTATTCTGAGCAGCTCCTGCCGCGTCTCCACGCTGAGGTAGCGGCTGTCGTGCCCGGAGGTCTGGATCAAGAAGCAGTGCTGCCTCTCGTCCACGTTTTCGGAGTCCTTGATGACGCGGAACATGCAGTTGTAGACCTTGAACTGCACCGCGGACTGCTCCCAGTCGGACAAGTTGAGCTGCCGGCACAAAACGGAATATCAGTTAGATTCATTTCTGGACTGTAATCACTGGTAAAACCGAAGCACAAAAAACTACGCCTAAGCGCATTACAGTGTCCTCCCGCCCTTCAAGGACCAAATTTAGTCAATTTAATAGTTCTCACAAATTTAAGAGTCCAAAATTTTAGTTCTAGTTACGACTCTTGCATTCTCAGTGCACGGAAGGCCGCGTGAGTGCAAAGGAGACAGAGCGCGAACTTCAAACAATCATGCCATTTTTTTTTCTTCGCATTGCAAAGAAAAAACTTTGAAACGTTCACAGTAAATAGTCTACGAAGCATCACTTAACAATACAAATAAAACGAAGACATTTTAAATTCTACGCAAAATTGCCTTGTATATTACGAAGCAATCGTATTCAAAGCCTTCAATTTCTTTGTAGCTGAAAGCTTAGTAGACTTTTTTGAGTGTTGCAAAGCATTTGCTTTTACGAGTTGCGGAGTTTAAGTTCGCAATGGCAAGGTAACAGTCTGCAGGAGTGTTTGTAATACAAAGTTGGAGAATGCCACGCAAATAGTTTTGAGTGCAGTCTACTGACCGGCGGCGTGTCGAAGAAGGTGACGTCGGTGCCCCGCAGCGTCATGAAGCGTGGCTTGTAGTTCTGCCACGGCTGGTTGTTGTTGAGCACGCCCTCGTTGACCCAGCCCATGTACTCGATGTGGTCGTGTGCGGGCAGGTTCCGATTGTGCAGCTTCATCTGCAAAGGATTAAAAAACAAAACGATTGTCAAACAACGAGCATTGTCGAGTCAAAGACCGCTGTGGGGGCAAACCACTGAGCATGAACGAGTCACAACCAGGACCAAGATTTTGGGCGAGCTGTGAGGTAGCAAATACAATTTTCATAGCCGAAATTTGTGTAAGGAAATCTATCGTGCCCAACTTCAGGAGATAAAACAAGCTTCACCCAAATTTGGGTGATAAGGTATACCTTGCCCCGCCTTGCCCAAAATATTGTTTTGAGCAGGACTCATTCATTATCAATCAGGTTCTTTGAAAAAAGGGCCTTCAGCGGTGAGTGGCGGCAATACTCCTGGGCCGAGGGGCGTTGGCAACCCTGCGGCGTGGAGTATTGCGATCGCCCTGGATAAGCCGCGTGATGGCACGACACGAAAGATACGCGCAACTTGGGATTGGAACCCGTTCCTTTAGAATGCATCTGTAAATTTTACAGGTCAAAACAGTTATTTTTTTCTAAGTGCAGATTAACTTTTAAGGCATTTCTTATACGAGAAAATGCACCTATTTTCCTAATTTTAGGTGCCTAATGGCACATAGATTCGTACAAAAAGTTCATCAGCACGAAAATCTGCAACGTCTCGTGCGACATTTGTGCAAAAACAAAAAACAAAACAGTTTGTTGGCAGCAGAGGCAAACGGTTGTTGTCTCCATATCCGAATCAAAATGCTCTAGATTTTGTTGAAAAGTTGAGTTGCTCTAAACCAAATATCTATCTGAATACTCTATGAGTTGTTTTGCCGCGGAGCACAGAGACTGTTCCGGCCTTGGTCCCTGGACAAACCACCGAACTTCTGCACATGCTCAGCAGAGTGGCTGCACCCCGCACGCAGACATATGTTTGCCTTCAGTGCTGAGAACAAAACACTTGGAAACCAAACGAGGAGAACTCCGCACGAGGCAGTGCGGTCGAAGTGCTGACGATGCGACCACGTATAATTAGGTTTACTGCAATACAAACGCGGCAAGTTCACGGGGGGCACTATCCTTTCACATGGAGCTAATTAAATTAATTAAACGCACAGTTCTCCACTGGTGTAAATCAACTCAGAAATTTTCTGATACTTTTGCATATCAGAACATTTCTCATGTCTGAGTTCTGATGTTTTTTCGGACACCTATTTCGATACCTCCTAATAACAAACACGTAGTTTGATCACCGGTTTCAATACTCACGTTCTTTGAGTATTGAGGCCAACAAACACGTAGTTTTGCTAGAAGACGCAACAAGCACGTAGTTTTTTGCTACGGGCTAACAAACGCGTAGTTTAATCGAGTGTTTTATTTTAGACTGAAAATGGACATTGGGCATTCATGGAGGGTGTACAATTTACATAATATTATGTTTTGAGTCACTTTTCACCTAATAGTGAAGAGTCTTGTCGGTAGGGACACGCTGAAAGTACTTTGAGAAGCTGTTCGCCATGCTGTATTTTACTATATTTTCACTGAAAACAGCCTCTAAACACGTTTCCAAGCTTAAATCCTGTCACTGTGACTGTTTTTTACCGCCTTATAGTGATCACACGACTTACACAGTAATAATATTGTAGAAAATGGAACTGCGTGTTTGTTGAACCGAACTACGTGAGTGTTTACTCGCGACTCCCGAACGGCCGCGAAACTACGTGTTTGTTGGTCTCGTTGCTCAAACTGTGTGAGTGTTGAAACCCGTAACCAAACTACGTGTTTGTTATTAGGAGGTATCGATTTCTGATGTTTGCGTTTCTGATGCCTCAGTTTTCTGATGACTTTAGTTCTGATAACATCGGCTGGACTCATAAAGAAATATATCAGAACAATCATTTTCTTCTGTAAACATATATTTTGATCTACATGAGACTCGGAAACGGGAAAAACGTCTTCGGGGGGTCGAAACCGAGTCCGATCCAAATCTGCAGTCCAAATTGAGCTAGCTCGCCATCAACTCTCAAAAAGACAGTAAATGTGATCCGATCTCATTGAGATAAAAACTGGCCTAGCCAAATCTTGCAAACAAGACACTCACCAAATTTGAAACTGAAATTACGTACACTTTCTATTTTACAGGGATCTCATTTTTTGGAACATCGGACATCTGAAACATTTCTGACGATTATATTTCTGATAACTAGCAGTTATCAGAAATCAGATCGACTTATCAGAAAGGTCTCTTTTTTTTGATGTCTCTGTTCTGATAACATATGAAAGTATCAGAAAAAACCATTTCTGATGACCTCTTTCTGATAAATAATTGATGTAATCAGAAAATACTCGAAATCTGATGTTTTTTTGTCAAGTTATCAGAAAATCCACCGTTTATCAGAAAATTTCTGAGTTGATTTACACCAGTGTCCACGTTAGCGAGAACTGTAGCCTTTACCTCGAGGTGCGGGGGCTACACGGGCTTCCTCGCGTGGACAACGTGCTCTGCGTTTCACGACGTGGTGCGTGTAAGTCAGTGTCCTCGCCACACGTGGCGTTCCCCACACTGGCAAAACTGAGGCTAAGCATCACCCTCCATTCTCAAGTCTTACGTATTAGACACAAGCGTGACGGGCTCACCCGCTCTAATTCTCCACATTAAAACGAGTAGGACAATGTCTTGTTTATGCTGTTTCTCAGGCGTAAGCTTGCGCTTGGCTCAAGCGCAAAGTTACATTTCAGTTTAACCAGTGTAGCTGCTTGTCCCGAGGTAGAGCCAAAGCAGCACTACTCTCGCATTCCGGGAACGTGACATCACGTTGAAATAAATGTGACAAAATGCTACGTTCCGTTGATAATTGTGTCACATTCTTTAAAACGTGAATCAGCTTATTATGGCTCATTCCCATCTGTACCTGCAGGTGTGTGAGGCCCACGATGTTGTCCGTGATGTGCTTGAGCCACTGCGACAGCACCAGCGCGTCATCCACGTGCACCACGCCGGTCGACGAGCCGTTGAGGCCGCGCACCTCGAACGAGTTGGGGCGCAGCTTGTCGGTGCCGAAGATGTACCTCGTCACGTACGCCATCATGAGGGGCACTGCAAGCAGAGATGACATTCACAGTCAGAGGTGAATTGGGAATTAACAAAGGTACCTCTGAAAAAAAATCGCTGAAGGTTTCCTTTGTAAAATCTTTGTGAATGTACGAGGGTCTTCACTGCAAAGCCAGTGGGAAGTTTGTTTGCCACAAGTTTGGCAAGCCATTTTGAATGACAAAATTTGGCAAGCTTTTGACCTGAAATCTTCAAAAGCTTGCCAAATTTCGGCAAGCTGGAGAGCTTTTCTGAGCCACGCTTGCCAACTTTGGCATTCAAAACAGCTTGTCAATTTTGTGGCAAGCAAACTTACCACTGGCTTTTCAGTGTTCATAGATTTACGCGGAATCTCGGTGAATTTGTAAAGAATCTTTGTAACTGTCCGAGAATCTTCGCGGATGAGCGAAGGTTCCGTCGGCAGAGGTTCCAAAAAGGTACCTTCGCAACGCCCGGAGATTTATATCCACGGTGCTAGACATACACGCGCCAAATTTAAATAAATCGGAAGGCGTTCGCCGCGGGTCGCACTCCAAATGGAGACAAATTGCCGAACGGAAAGGGCTCACGCGAGGTCGCCACTCCTCCGCCCCCTCCCAGGGCCCCTCCCAGGGCCCCTCCCAGGGCCCCTCCCAGGGCCCCTCCCAGGGCCCCTCCCAGGGCCCCTCCCAGGGCCCCTCCCAGGGCCCCTCCCAGGGCCCCTCCCAGGGCCCCTCCCAGGGCCCCTCCCAGGGCCCTCTCCAGGGCCCCTCCCAGGGCCCCTCCCAGGGCCCCTCCCAGGGCCCCTCCCAGGGGACCGGCCTTTGCGGCCGTCACATGACTACTCAATTTCCGGGGTGCGTGTCGTTTCCGGTGGCCGCACCGAGGGCCTGCCGAAGGCCGAGCCGGACTTCTGAAGCGCGCCGCGCCGGGGCCGCCCCGCAGTGACCCAGGCGACCGCGGCGCAAGCGGTCAAAACTCTAGACGCGTTTTTGAGCTCCAGAGTCGCTGAACTCCAACCGTTTGTACGACCCCACCAATGGATTCTTCGTTCGGAGAACAATCCATTGATAGGGTCACGTGATCGGTTCGAGTACCATTTAGCGACTCTGGAGCTCAAAAAGCGTCTAGGGTTTCGGCCGCCTGCGCCGGTCTTCTGGCCCACTGTGCGCCGGAGGCTTCCCGGAGGCTTCCCGGAGGCCAAGCCGGACACGAGGTGGTGCTTTCGAAACTTTCCCCGCCTCTTTCCGGAGAGTCTGCGCCACCGCCAGCCTCCCCGCGACGTGCCCTAATTTCGGCCCTTTTTCTTGCTTTCCGAGAGGGCGCCGCGCCGGGCCGCCCTGACACGGCGGCGGCTGGCGTCCTCTCTGACCTTGCAACAACACCCTCTTAAAAAAAAAAAAACATTAAAAAAAAATCAACAACACCGTTGAAACGACTTACTATCTCGAGGGGTGAGTACAGACGAGTATACCTCACAAAACTCACAAATTTCACATTTTTAAAAAAAGTTTGTTAGGCTTTATTTAGCGTTTTAGACAACACAACGCTAAATCGCACATACTGAGAAAACCTTTCAAAATATTTTGGGCTTTACACAGAAAAGCAGCTTGTTATGACGAAGTATTTTGAGTGCATTAGCTTACAAAGAAAATACTTTGTAATTTACTAACTATTTCTTCGCATAACAAAGTAAACTAGTTTTATAATGTATGCTCAAAATACTTCGTAAGGCTTTAAGCGTGCAAAAAATTTAAGAATTTTGCCCTTTCAAAATTTGTAAGAACACTAGGTGCGGGTTTATTTGGACACACGAGTTCACTAGTGATTCTACACTGCTCCTTGTTACGGAAACGGACTGCACACGACCCTTGCTACGCGTTTTGTGCGTAAGTACTGTGAAGGAAAAGCTCAGGGCGAATAACCCGAAGGTCGACGCTGAAAATTGAACAATGTGCACACTGTTGAGTTTCCAGAGTGGTCGCCAAGGTCCGTCGGCCTTGGCAAGAGACTCGGCGGGCACAAACGAGAGTACAGCGATTTGCGGCCCGCGCTGCCGCGGCCGGCATTGTTCCCGAACAACTGGCACGGCCATCCAGCCACGTCCGGCTGCCACGGCCTTCCCAGCAGCCCGTCGCTCTGTCTCTCTCGCACGCTTGGGCGTTCCGTGCAAGTGCGAGAGAGACGGAGCGACGAAACGACTCACGGAATCAGCCTGAAGCAGAGCAACAAAGACGACAACAGCGAAACGAGAATCGTGCCCCGCCACGGGCAGCCACCTCGCGAGGCAGGGGCCCCAGCGCCACAGGAAAAGAAACTTTTTATTTCGTTAGGCAAACGTGTCCTCCGTTGCGAAGGGTTGTATTCTAATCAAGGGAGCGCACACAACGGCATGCGTCGCGTCCGAATTGCGTTTGGTGCTTTGTCTAACATTTCCAGCTGTCGGACAATCAGAAAACGCGCGAAAAGTGTGCCCGCTTCCGTAAGAACTGTTCGAATGAAAATGTTATCGACTTTGAGGAAACGTCCGAGAACGTCCATGAAAAGTCGTGCAGGGCACAAATTAAAATTTTATCCGTTTTAACCACTTTCGTACTATGCTTGCGCCATTTCCTTCGTACTATGGGAAATTTCTTCGCAAGACGTTTAGAGCGTATACATCTTCAGGATAGAAGTGCGGAATTTTTCCCAGTGCGTCCAGTCATACCTGTGATGACGTCCACCCAGGTGTGCCTGGGCGGCGAGAAGGACCCCGACGCGGGCCTGGAGGCGGGCCTGGAGCCCGGCCTGGACAGGGACTGCGTGTTGCTGCACAGGCTGGTGGTGGACGGCGACCGCCAGCCGTCCTCGCCCAGGTGGAGCGACTGCAGCTGCTTCGTCACCTGCGCGTCGTTCTCCGCAGCTGGAACGCGAGAAGCAACGAGTCAACGAGCAGCATGCCCCAAATACACTGAGAATGAAAAAGTCATGATCAATACCCAATTTCGGGCGAGGTTTACTTTCTCACCCATATATGGGCGAGGAAACTTTCCTCACCCAAATTTGGGCAAGGAAAATTTCCTCACCCAAATTTGGGTAATAAAGAATTCCTCACTCAAAATTTTAGTCATGAACATGACTCTTTTATTCTCAGTGTAAATGCATTTGTACAAGTGACGTCACGGTTTTCTGTGTAGATGAACACGGCAAAAACAACGTCCGGGTTTCCCAGGCGCACCCTCGAAAAATGCCCTGTTTTTCCAGGGTGCGCCTGGGAAACCCGGACGTTGTTTTTGTCGTGAACCCGTCATGCAAATTTCCCCACTTGTAGTCACAAACTGGAGAAATTGGTCCAGGTTGTTTTCCAAAATCGTTCAAAAAGTTGGCCTCCACCAAAACACAGGAACGTCCCGCACAAAATGAAACGGCGCATAGCTAATAATGTGAGGGCAATGACTTCGTCCATTTGGTTAACTTTGGCTGTCTATAATACAGAGTTTTATACACTTTTAAAACATTGCAAACTTATATGTTTGCATGCTTGCGAATGGTCTGACTTGTTCGTAACGTAATTAACGAATCCGTATAGCAAATCAGCGGTTCGCAACTTGTGACCAAGTGTTTCGCCATTTGCGAACAAGTTGATTGTATTATGAACCCTTTGCACGCACATTGTTCGCAAGATTACGCACTTCCAGGCAATAATACAATCGAGCTTCAGCTTCACTCCGCCCGAAGCTGCAAATCAAACGGTTTGTAACGCGAACACATTCTTCGCAAGGCTCTGAGTGTACGAAGTAAATCGCGACTAATCTTTTTTCGATTATTCAAAGTCGTATCGCTCGCAAAGTTTGTGGCAGTATACCAGGTAACGCGCCCCTCTGTATCCAGAAAGAATAGAGGAAGATAAGAAAAGAAAAGCTTGGGAGAAGAAACGGGATAAAATGCGAAAAACATAGCACCGACCACCGGGCAAAGAAAAAGGCAGAGGCTGCAGTCAGCCGGTCTAGCCCTTAATGGTAATGGTAATGGCGGGTAGGCAGCACGCGCACACGGATGCCTTGCCGCGAAGCCTACCCTCCAGGCGCTCTCCGCCCGCAAGGACTCGGTTCGATGGGAGGTCTGAGCGGCGGGGCGCTTTGGTGGTGCGGTGTACGGCTGCCAACTCACGGCCCGCCACGCCACGCCCGGCCACGCCACGCCCCGCTGGCGGGCAAAAGCGGGCCCCCGACAAGACGAGACGTGATGTGATGTGTGCGCATCGCTCTCGCGTGACAGGATGTGGCGGGGCGGGGCGTGGGAAACTCGGCGCGACTTGCACTGCCGGCCGCCCCAACCACCCAGCACACACACACACTCTCTCACTCTCACACCGCACACACACACGCTCACAGAGTCGTGCGGTGAAAATAAAATTTGCGGCGTGCCCTGGGCGCCCGGCGGTGTGCACTCACAGGGTTCGTTCTCGGCCGACTTCTGGAGGAAGGGTGTCGCCGCCCGGTAGTGCTTGACGGTCAGCATGACGAGGTCCCCGGCGTTGCGCAGGATGTTGACGGCCTCGTCGTGGTGGCACGCCACGATGGGCTCCCCGTTCACTGCAAAAACACGACAAACGTTTTTTCCGTTACAACACTGGTAAGAAGAGGAAAGTAGGTAAAGAACTTAGTACGGTACAAGGCTGGTCAAAAATTTGCCTGTACCGTCCGAATCTGCAAACGAACGAGTACTTCTGTACTTTTTTTCCGTATATCCGTTTGCATGAGCTCAAGTGGAGCAAGTTCGAATTTTCCGCACGTTTCCCCGTACTTCCTTACAATATTTTTCTGTACAAAAGCACGGAATTTTTCACAGTGAACGCAATGAATTTTTATCATTGCTACCCCTCCTCAGAACACCATCCTGCCTTTAGGAAACTCATCAGGACGCTAGGAGACCATTTTAACTCCCCGAGGCGCGGGGACAGCATTCGATCTCTCACAACAAAATCTTTCCAGCTACGATAGTCTTTCGAAAGCCATGCGAGTTGGGATTGTTTTCCAGCGTCCCGGCAATCAGTATGGTCCCCCAACGCCCTCACGAGCTAGGATGGTTTTAAGAGCGGGGTGGATGACGAAAATCGCTCTTTCTCTTTCTTTGCCGTTTGAGTGGGAAATCGTGGGGTGCATATTGGTGAGCATGTGTGTGAGTTTGTGTGAATGTGACCGCGATCCAATGGGTAAAGTGATAAAAAAATGAAGAAAAAAATCCAATCTCCGCTTGGCCCGCGTGGTCATTCATCTCTGTCCGCTGCGCCTGGCTGCACACAGTGGGCCAGAAGACCGGTGGGGGCGGCCAAAGCTCTAGACGCGTTTTGAGCTCCAAAGTCGATAGGGACTCGAACTGAACGTGTGACCCCACCAATGGATTGCTCTCCGAACGAGGAATCCATTGGTGGGGTCACACGATCGGTTCGAGTCCTGTTTAGCGACTCTGGAGCTCAAAACGCGTCAAGAGTTTTGGCCGCCTCCACCGGTCTTCTGGCCCACTGCGCTGCGCCCCGCCACCCCCGCGCCCCCTCCTCTCTCACACGAGGCCTTGTCAGCCCGCAGCTTGACACGTTCCTTTTGATTCCTTTTTGCGTTGTGCGTTTCTGCAATCTTTTTTGAGCGCGGGCCCCTTGCCCCACCTGCTTCCTGGAGAGGTCATTTCATAGACTGGGGCGCCATTAGCTGCAAGTGCACCTGCACGACCCCCCGGGGGGTGCTAGCGCGGTGCTGCAGCTCTACCCGCCCCGCGTCGTGCCGGAACGGGTTAACTACCCGTAACGAAATTTGTTTTATTTTCACGCGGTTGGACGTTAGAAACCGCCGTAACAGTCGTCGGACGCTCTTATTATTTAGTGCGCAAGTGGCTGAACCATCTATACGAGGGGTCTGGACTCTAAAAGCCTCACTGAGAATCCAAACGCTATGAAGAGTCAATTGGTGCAATGCTTTTGAATTGCACATTAAGTGCAGACCTGCCCATCCCCGTGCATTAGCATACACTTTACAAAAAATGTCCTGTCAACGCCGTTAATTTATTACCAATGTTTGCTGTAATGCAATTCACGGCGTTTGCTGTGGACTAGTTCGCGGCGTTCACTGTGATCTCGGTTACAGTCGACACCTCCTAGGAACAAGCGGCTATCTTCCAGGAGCTTCCAGACACTCGGCTATCTCTCAGTAGCTTCCAGACACTCGGCTATCTTTCAATAGCGTCCAGACACTCGGCTATCTTCCTGAGCGCTTCGGAGACTCGGCTAACTGACTTCTGCGGAGAGGTTAGGGTTGTCCTTTCGATAGCGTTTTTCTTTGTTACACTTATCAAGACATGCTCACGCCATGATTTTAATCTACTCTGACAAACTTTTGACACATTTTGGTTAGGTCCCGGTGAGGGCATTTCAACTGGTTTAAAATATATACGCACCCAAACTCGGGAAGTGGGAAAAGCAGTTAGCCGAGTCTCCGAAGCGCTCAGAAAGATAGCCGAGTGTCTGGACGCTATTGGAAGATAGCCGAGTGTCTGAAAGCTACTGCGAGATAGCCGAGTGTCTGGAAGCTCCCGGAAGATAGCCGCTTGTTCCTAGGAGGTGTCGCAGTGTTCACTGTGATCTGGCCACAGTAAACGCCGTGAATTGGAGCCTGATTTGCAGTACCTCGGTGCTCAGCGGCGTCAAACTTACTGTGTGCACTGGTAGAACTCAAGCGTAGTTTTACGCCTTTCTTCAAGCGTAGTAGAACTACGCTCGGTTTCAAGCATAGTTCTCCATTTTGCCCCTCTCCCGCCTATCTAAATGCATGGGAGAATTTCTTCTCTACGCTTGACGTCAAGCGTAAAGTCTTCAAGCGTAGTTGTATGCTTGAATCAAGCATACAACTACGCTTCAGTTTTACCGGTGTGTCACCTGACGCATGCATGATCATTGTTCTGGTTGGGTTCTGGTTATCACTTGATCAAAGTGTGACGGCTCATGTGTACTGCAACAATTTATCACCTCCTTGATGACAATTTAAAGGCTGAATTCCCTCACAAGAATATCATCAAACTTGTCAACTACATCGATTTGCAGTAAAATTGTTATCGTTTTACTAGAATTCCATGATCTTAACATTAATGACAACAAATTTGACAGTGCTCCGAGACGCGATCGGCCCCGGCCACCCGCTCTCGCCTGGTAAGGACTGCCGCCAGCCAACCGCAGGCCGGGCGAGCCGTGCTGGGCGAGGTTGGTGGCCAAGTACTTGTCGCTGCTGGCTGCTTGTAACCGAGGCGGGGCTGTGGAGCCTGGCTGCCGGATTGTGCGGGACGGGCCGTCCGCGGCGCGCCCTGCCCGAGTGGAAACAGATTGTGGCGCCGCTCTGGTGAGACGACAAGCCGTCCGCAGGGGACTCGGGACGCTGGTGGGTCACGGCCTTTCGAGGATCCGAGCCTAACCCCTCCTCTCTCTCTCCCTCCCTCTCTCTTCTCTTCTCTCTCTCTCTCTCTCTCTCTCTCTCTCTCTCTCTCTCTCTCTCTCTCTCTCTCTCTGACACACACACACGTCCGTGTGGTGTTCCGTCCTCCTTCAAGTGGCCGACCTCCACGTGTATAGGACACCGCCAGCACACTGATTCCGAGATTCATCCTGGTTGCTCTGTCTCCCTCGCACTCCTCATGAGCGCGGCGCTCGGGTGGGAGAGAGACGCAGAGCGACGAAAACGACTCTGCGAGTCAGCCACGCTGCTCGGCGATGGATGACTCGATGACGCCGCGGGCGACTTTGGAAACGCCGAGTAAATATTGATGGGGTGTTTTCGTTGGTTTTGTTGGTTTGCATAGAGCGCGGCCTCCTCCATGCATCGGCCAGCGCCTCGGTCTCCTCGCTTTGCCGAACCGCTTCGGCCGACTTCGGCCACTTGAGCCGACTCGTGGCCCCACTATACTATTCGGCCCACTTCGCGCGTCCCGAAGGGCTCACTTGCCCCAGAGCACTTTCCACCCTGGGGAAACGCCGCGGGAGGGGGTGCGGGAAACGCCGAGGAAGGGGAGGGGAGGGGGAAGAGGGAAAAGGGGAGGGGGAGGGGGGAAAGGGAAAAGGGGAGGGGGAGGGGGGAAAGGGGAAAGGGGAGGGGAGGGGGGAAAGGGAAAAGGGGAGGGGGAAAAGGGGAGGGGGAGGGGGGAAGGGAAAAGGGGAGGGAGAGGGGGAAAAGGGGAGGGGGAGGGGGGAAAGGGAAAAGGGGAGGGGGAGGGGGGAAAGGGAAAAGGGGAGGGGGAGGGGGAAAGGGGAGGGGGGAAAGGGGAGGGGGAGGGGGGAAAGGGGAGGGGGGAAAGGGGAGGGGGAGGGGGGAAAAGGGAAAAGGGGAGGGGGGAAAAGGGGAGGGGGAGGGGGGAAAGGGAAAAGGGGAGGGGAAGGGGGAAAAGGGGAGGGGGAGGGGGGAAAGGGAAAAGGGGAGGGGGAGGGGGAAAGGGAAAAGGGGAGGGGGAAAAGGGGAGGGGGAGGGGGAAAGGAAAAGGGGAGGGGAAGGGGGAAAGGGAGGGGGAGGGGGAAAGGGAAAAGGGGAGGGGGGAGGGAAAACGTCGATGGGGCTCTTTGTGATGGATGCGGTCAACAGGGCGGCGATTCCGCAGAAAATTGAGTGGCTCTCGGCTCGGCGTTCGCAGGGCCGATAAGCGAGCCGAACATTGCCGAAGGTGGAGCCGAAAGGAAAACAAGGGCGCGTGTTGACCGAGCAGCGCGGAAGCAGCCGTGAGGTACACACCGTTAGTGGGTCTCCTCTGCCTCCCGCCCCTGACAGACTGAGGGCCAGGTCAACTCGGGGGTAACTCGGGGGTAACTCAGGGGTAACTCGGGGGTAACTCGGGGGTAACTCAAGGGGAAGTCGGGGGGAACTCGGGGGGAACTCGGGGGGAACTCGGGGGGAACTCGGGGGGAACTCAGGGGCAAGTCGGGGGGAACTCAGGGGCAAGTCGGGGGGAACTCGGGGGGAACTCGGGGGCAAGTGGGGGGGTACTCAGGGGTAACTCGGGGGCAAGTCGGGGGGAACTTGATCGACTCGCCCAAACACTAGAAATACGCTCCAAACTAGCACCGGTGCCTTTGTCTCGTTGCCCCGATTCTAAAAGTGCTCCTACTTGCCCCTCTAGCTCAGCGGTTCCCAACGGGGTCGCGAAAAAATTTTGAGGGGTCGCGGCGAGGTGGCTGGGGTCGCCTGGGGTCGCGGTGGTTTCCCGGCTGGCCCACACGCCGAGCACTGGCTGCTTAAATGCCGCAAAGTTGATCAAAACGGTCACAAATGTGTGTAAAAGATCGTGTTTTGGGTCGACTTTAAGCATCCACTGCTTCTGATCTGAGGCGGTAAATCGCCCTCCCTCAACGGGCAATTGGTCTTTGGACCTTCCTTTTGCATGCCTTTGTTACGGAGTGCAATTATCTGCCTCAGTTTGGAAGCAGTACTGCCGCAAAGTTGGTCTAAACAGTCACAAATGTCTGTGAAAAATCGTGTTTTGAGCCGACTTTAAGCATCCACTGCGTCTGATCCGAGGCGGTAAATCGCCCTCCCTCAACGGTCAATTGGTCTTTAGACCTTCCTTTAGCATGCCTTTGTTACGGAGTGCGATTATTTGCCTTAGTTTGGGAGCAGTTTTGCCGCAAAGTTGATCAAAACGGTCACAAATGTCTGAAAAATCGTGTTTTGATCAACTTTGTGGCAAAACTGCTCCCAAACTAAGGCAAATAATCGCACTCCGTAACAAAGGCATGCTAAAGGAAGGTCTAAAGACCAATTGACCGTTGACGGAGGACGATTTACCGCCTCGGATCAGACGCAGTGGATGCTTAAAGTCGGCTCAAAACACGATTTTTCACAGACATTTGTGACTGTTTAGACCAACTTTGCGGCAGTACTGCTTCCAAACTGAGGCAGATAATTGCACTCCGTAACAAAGGCATGCAAAAGGAAGGTCCAAAGACCAATTGCCCGTTGAGGGAGGGCGATTTACCGCCTCAGATCAGAAGCAGTGGATGCTTAAAGTCGACCCAAAACACGATCTTTTACACACATTGTGACCGTTTTGATCAACTTTGCGGCATTTAAGCAGCCAGTGCTCGGTGTGTGGGCCAGCCGGGAAACCACCGCGACCCCAGGCGACCCCAGCCACCTCGCCGCGACCCCTCAAAATTTTTTCGCGACCCCATTTGGGGTCGCGACCCCAAGGTAGGGAACCGCTGAGCTAGAGGGGCAAGTAGGGGCACTTTTAGAATCGGGGCAACGAGACAAAGGCAACGGTGCTAGTTTGGAGCGTATTTCTAGTGTTTGGGCGAGTCGATCAAGTTCCCCCGACTTGCCCCCGAGTTACCCCTGAGTTCCCCCTGACTTGCCCCCGAGTTCCCCCGAGTTCCCCCCGACTTGCCCCTGAGTTCCCCCCGACTTCCCCCCGAGTTCCCCCGACTTCCCCCCGACTTCCCCCCGACTTCCCCTTGAGTTAACCCCGAGTTACCCCCGAGTTACTCCCGAGTTACCCCCGAGTTACCCCCGAGTTGACCTGGCCCTCAGTTTGTCAGGGGCGGAGTCTTTTGTTTGTTCGATAAGTTTTGCGGAGAAGGATTGCCAGCCGGGCAAGACGGATGGGCGGACTGGGGCCGCAACGACAGCTACAGCCAGCAGACTGATTCGAGAGGGGGGTCTCTCTCTTTCGTACTCGCACTGAAATTCCAAGGGTGAGACATCTGACCGATTTTCGGTGATACAAAAAGTATGACCGGAAAACCGTCATACACAAATGTATGACCGAAAAAGGGCCAGACATCAGCGAGACTTGTTTAGCTTGGGGATATATCAGCCTTTACATGTGAAACACTTTAAAGTATGACCATTTTTCGGTCTTACATGTCGACCCTTTTTCGGTCGCACATTTCAGTAAGACCGTTATGGGGGTCAAATGTCTGACCTTTCTATTTTCAGTGCGTGTGGGTGCAAGGGAGACAGACTGACGAGAGCTTCACTTGGAATCAGTCTGCAAAACCGCATTTGCAATCTTAAAAGTCTGCGAAGTAACATTGAGATATCTTAGAATTGCTGTATTATTCCATTCGAATACGAATTCGTATACACGTAAGACCCTTCAAAGAACGCCTTCGTAATGCAAAGAGAACGGTCCCAGCTTACGACGAAGCAAATAGTTTGTAATGCAAACGATTTTGTTGGGAACACGAAGACGAAGGAAAAATCCTTTGCAGGCCGCAGGCTTCGTAGCATGCAGAGGATTTTTCCTTCGGAGTACAAACCAAATCGTATGTATTACAAACGACTTCCTTCGTTGGCTGCGGCAAAGCCTCCGTTTTTGGCCCGTCCCGTTTATTTTTTTGTAAAAAAAAATATGACGGAGGGACGGGCATATAGTATGATGCATGCTGTGCGTCCGTCCGTTCGTCCGTTCGTTCGTTCGTTCGAGGACTTCCCGTGGTCCGATCTTGACCAAATTTGGTATACAGCCTCCTTGGGTGAGCCTAAGAGAACCGCCCGGTGGCGGCAAATCCGATCCGAGCCCCGGGGGCGCTGCTGCAGGTGCATCATGGTCTACATGGGGTCGAGGAGGATCTCGGCAACGGATGCAGCTAGGAGGGCATGTAGGGGTATTTTTAGAATCGGGGCGACGAGAAAAAACAACGGTGCCAGTTTCAAGTGAATCGGAGAAGTTTGGACCCGGGTTCAAATCCCAGCGGGGTATTTTTTGAACATTCTTTTTATTCGAGTTTTTGCATTGTTTCTGATGTTTTTAAGCGTGCTGATGACGAAAACGACATTAATTTTAACCCCAGACTGAGGTTTAAATCCCGTCAGGGTCAAACATAGGCGAAATTCGTAAATTTATTAATGTACCCCCGCATACATTATTGGTCCGCCACCGACCGTATACTCACGAAAAAAAATTACAATGACACCGCTGGTTATATCACTCGTTATATCACTCGATATATCACTCGATATATCACTCGATATATCACTCGATATATCACTCGATATATCACTCGATATATCACTCGATATATCACTCGATATATCACTCGATATATCACTCGATATATCACTCGATATATCACTCGATATATCACTCGACATATCACTCGATATATCACTCGATATATCACTCGATATATCACTCGATGTATCACTCGATACATCACTCGATACATCACTCGATACATCACTCGATATATCACTCGATATATCACTCGATATATCACTCGATATATCACTCGATATGTCACTCGATATATCACTCGATATATCACTCGATATATCACTCGATATATCACTCGATATATCACTCGATATATCACTCGATATATTACTCGATATATCACTCGATATATTACTCGATATATCATTCGAATCTTGCATAAGCTACTCTGGCTGACTCACATCAAAACGAATGTGACACAATGCTTAGAGGAACGTGATGTCACGTTCCTGGAATAGGGTGCTCCAAGCGGAAGAAGAAGAACACAAGCAAGCCCCAAGGGCTTCTGGGCATGAGCTGACGTCACCTCACCGCCCGGTGCGCATGCGCAGTCGTTTCCTCGGCACTCGGTGCGCATGCGCAGAAGCTGTTTTGAGGGCTTACATTGTTCTTCTTCCGTTTCAAGATTCGTTGGAGTACCCTTTGAGAGTGTTGTTTTCTTGGCTCTGTTCTGTCGGCCTTGGCCTCACGTTAGAGTACTGCAGCATTTGTGCGCGAGAATGAAAACTCCTTTAGTCCGCTCGAATGGGTTCTCATCAAGCCGGCGCGGCGGTCAGCCCCTCGCGGACCACAGAGACGATCGTCGGAGCCCGGCCGGGCCGCGGCGAAGTTGGAAAGGCCTTTGTTGGCGCTGTGATGTGGTGCGGCGTGCCATGCACTGCAAGGCACTCTGCCGCTGGACGCGGGGTGGGGCGTCCGCCGGGTGCCCACCCCCTCCATCGACGGGCACGGCCAAATGATTAAAACTTGACAATGACGCTGAGTTCGCCCGGACCACACAGTGTGGCACACACCCCGGGAATTGCCATGGAAAATGAAGGTGTAGTGGTGCGGCCTCCAGGGCCCTGCAGGAGTGGGTGGGATTGGACGGCGTGTGCGGGCGAAAAGGGTAAACCGGGCGAAAATGTTTCGTGTTGAATGAAGCAGGGAATTGAAGTTCTTTTTGAACGACAATTTTAGTTGTAGTTGACTTCGTGAATTTCGGCGTGATCTCCTTCGCTTAGTTCTTTTTAATGAGACAAAGGCAAGCTGCGGGGAACGTGCCACTGCATGAACGTGGCCAGGAATTTTAATAAACAAGGTAGGTTTACGCCAGACCGCGCGCGATGTCTTGCGGCCTGTTCCTTCAATCCGCGCCTGGCGTACCTACCTTGGCCTGCGGCGCTAGACTGCCTTCGGCAGGCATTGGCTTCTCCATCGTCGGTTACTTCTTACTTGTTGCATGCTGGGGGGCGGCCCCCAGACCCCCTTCATTCCAGGTAGAGTTGTTTCATCTACAGATAACACGTTCTTGACCCTTGTAACTTTTTAACCTGTTGGGGGCCCCCCAGACCCCCCTTTCTTCAAGGCAGAAGTGATCTGTCTGCAGAAAACTCGATTTTTCGCCGTTTTCTAGGTGTTTTTCGGCTATAAAAACTGAACCAGTTGAGCTAGGATAGTGAAATTTCGCGTGTGCCGAGCCAAGAACATACCTAATAAGCCTGCAAAATCTAAGCCAGATCAGCCGAGCCGTTCAGGAGGAGTAGTGTACACACACACACACACACACACAGACACACAGACAGACACACAGACAGACAGAAAAAACTTTTCAACCGCACTGGAGTAACAGGCTTCGCTATCGCTCAGCCAATCACATTACTTTTTCCTCTCACTTAAAATTCAAAGGCACTTTTGGTGCCTTTGTCGATGCAATTGTGTGTCGACAACAATTTGCCATGGAAATCATGCCCACAAAGAGGCGTGAAACAAGAGAATCGCCATGATTCGGCAGTACACTGGGAAATCATCAAACCGAGTCAAACTTCGTTGCCAAAGTTTGGCAATACTCTTCAGTCACAGAAAAACCAAAAGTATTCTAGACCGCACCAACTGGTGCGTGCAAACGGGCGACGCGGTCTAGCCTTCGTTCGGCTCTTCACTGTGTTGCAAAGTATTTGGCGATGCTACTGCCTCTTTTAATGCAAGATGTTTTGTGTGGCTCTTTGTCGACACAGTTCTGCATCATTTTTGGATTTAGAGTGCGGGGATGGGGCAAGGATGATGTAGCCCCGGCCGTGCCCGGGGCGTAGTCCAGGGCTACTCCGGGCGTCCTCGGCCACACCACAGCGTGTGGGTAGCGGTTCGGACGGGGGATGCGGAGCTGTTGGATCCGCCGAGTTGGCCAAAGTTTCCAGGGGAACTCCATCACTGTCGTGCTGCATAAGTGTCTGTTTGAGGCCCGGCCCAGGCCGGCCTACCTTTGATGATGGCGTCGCCGACGAACAGCTTGCCGGTCTCGTCCGCGGCCTGGCCCTTGAAGATCCTGGAGATGAGGATGGGCAGCTTGTGCTCCGAGCCGCCCTTGATGCTCAGCCCGAGCCCGCCCACCTTCTGCCGCGTCACGCTCACCATCCGCTCCTGCAGCAACAACAACAAGGGACCCATGTCATGGCGGGCCGTGCTAGCAACAACAACATGCCGCTGTTGTTTTCACCGGGCAACAACACAATTACACCCGCGAGCCAGCGATGACAATAACAAAGCACTCTCACCGCGTGTGGGGCATGGCATGGCGGGGACGACGGAAGCACATATTAATTTATGCAAAAAACAAAACCAGCGGTTTCGGGCTGCGGGGAAAAATTGTTTCACACACTCGGCCCATCATGATGCCATAAGCGCTCTCTCTGGGCCGGCAGCGCCCAGAATGTTGAGCATATTACACACGCGCCCACACTCACGATCGGGCGGCGGCACAGGCGTTTGCAGGCGCAAGCGGCTCTCCCAAAGTGTGCAGTTAATATCCATTAAAAATTGACAGAGTGTGCGGATCCCTTCGCCCTCCCGCTCTGCATGGACCGGCCTTCGGAAAACGTGTAGCCTTTTTATTGCTCCTCGCGATATTCCCGACGCATTTCCCGAAAGTAGGGCCGGCCGCCGCCAGCCCTTTGCGGCATCCCTCTTCGACGCCCACGCGTCCCCCCCCCCCTTTCACGCGCCGGTCCCTCCCTGACCTCGCAAATAATAAAACAAAAGGGAGAAGTGCGACGCGGAAGCCCTCGGCCGCAGTCTGGGCAGCTGTGCATGGCAGCCGCATGCGCCCGTAAATTTTTCATATTTTGCCCGGGATTGCTGCAGCAGGCGGCCGTAGGCGGCGCACTGACTTGTTGGCCTGGGCACGACCGGGGGAGGGGGTGGGGGGAGGAAAGCGTCGGACGCGCGTCGCATCTGATAGTCGACAGGCTTCCCCCGCTCGACCGCCCGCGCGTTCAGCCAGCCACGCTTTCTTCCCCTCCTTTTTCTGCCTTCTTCGCTTCGTTCCTTTCCGATCGCGCGCGCCCCGCTGCCTCGGCCGTTTGCTGCGCCATGCAGCCGAACCCTGCGGCACTTTCGCGTGGCGAGCTAAATTAATCAGGTGCATTGTGGGTAGCCGCGCCGGGCAGCCCTCGCCTAGCCTCGCGGCAGGTGCTTCATCAGCACTCGACCGCTGTGTCGGCCCGCTCCCGCCTTGTGAGCCGCACTGCGCCCTTTTTATGCACCCCTCTGATGAGAGCGCGCCGCTCCGCGAGGCATGACTGCCAAATGCCGCGCGTCTGGCTCTCGGATTTAGGTGGTGTGGTGGTGGTGGTGGTGGTGGTAGTGGAGGAGAGGAGGAGGAGGAGGAGAAGAAGAAGAAGAAGAAGAAGAAGAAGAAGAAGAAGAAGAAGAAGAAGGACGAGATAAAGAAAAACAAGAAGAAGGACGAGAAAAAGAAAGAGGACAGAGACGGCGTATGAGAAGGGGGAGAAGGAGGAGGAAGAACAAGAGGACGGAAATGAGAGGAGGGAGAGGAAAGAGACGGGGCATGAGAACGGGGAAGGGGGAGAAGGAGGGGAGGGGGAGGAGGGGGACGAAAAGAAGGGGGAGGGAAAAGAGAAGAAGGCGGAGAAATGGAAGAAGGGGAGAAGAGGGAAATAAAAAGAAAGAGGGGAAGGAAAAAGAGAAGAGGACGGAGAAAGAGAAGGAGGGGAGGAGAGGAAGAAGGAATACGTCTCCAAGAAAGGGAGTCTGTGGCCCATCGAGTTATGCAGTCCTATTGAATTAGTCTGGCATTCCTATGGCGCGCCATGGCGACCCAGACACGCAGCCCAGCCGGAATGTGATACAACAAGGGGGCTGGGGGAGGGGTAGCGACAGAGAGGGATGAGATGGGATCGCGGGCACTGTCACGACTCGGGAACGAATCCCGGATTGGACTGGCTGAGCGTGGGGTGCGCTCCAGTGCGCTCTCCATGTGGCAAAGATCAGTGGAGTTTTAGAAGTATGGTGAATATTCTTTGTGGTGTTTCAGCTCAATTCGTAACTTTCCACAAGGTAGGAGAGCGCCGTCTTGTAACAGGCTTCGCGGTGCTCCGCCAGTTGTGACAATCTATGCCTGCCATTTACACCTACGTTCAGCCAATAAAAGATTCTTTGTACCTTATACTGTCGACTTTCTTTTGACTGGTCTCTGTCACAAGTACGGATAAGGAATAACATGAAAAGTAGCGATATACATCGGCAACTTTGGCCCGTCCCGTGCATTAACAAATGTGTGAATTTCGCCTTTGTTTAACCCTAACGAGTTTGAACCTGAGTCTGGGGTCAAAATAGATGTTATTTTCGTCATCAGGACCCTCAAAAACATAAGAAACAGTGCAAAAACTCGAATAAAAAGAATGTTCAAAATATACCCCACTGGGATTTGAACCCGGGTCCAAACTTCTCCGATTCACTTGAAACTGGCACCGTTGGTTTTGTCTCGTCACCCCGATTTCAAAAATACCCCTACATGCCCTGCTAGCTGTATCCGTTGCCGAAATCCTCCTCGACCCCATGTAGACCATAATGCACCTGCAGCAGCGCCCCCGGGGCTCGGATCGGATTTGCTGCCACCGGGCGGTTCTTAGGGTCACCCAAGGAGGCTGCATACCAAATTTGGTCAAGATCGGACCATGGGATGTCCTCGGACGGACGGACGGACGCACGCACAGCAGGGATCATACTATATATCACTGTAAAAAAATTAGTTCGTAAATTTACAAACAATTTATGGGTAATTTCGTTGCACAAATTATCTGTAAATTTACAACGTCTTTTTGTTTCTTAACGATTTATGAATTATTCTTCACGCAGTAATTTGTAAAATTACAAACTTTTTACACGCTCAAAATGACGTGGACCGCTTTTGTTCTACCTTGTCACGCTGATTAAATGGAGATTAACTTATTTCAGCGTTTTTGTTTTGTTTTATGAAACATCTTGTAAAATGATGAAGGCATCACCATATCTCGTAATCTTACAAGCGATTTGTGCAACGGAATTACCCAAGCATTTGTTGTAATTTTAGGAAACTTTTCATGTTTTTGTGACATTGTTGTAGTATTTTAGTCACGTTTGAGATGTATTTTGTTCGTACCATTTCATAAGGCGGTGTTCACGAACAAATTTCATAAAATTAAGAAGATTTCTGTGATGAATAATTCATAAAACGGCCTCTACGAATAAATTTCATAAAATAACGAAATGTTATTGTTACTTTACAGAGAATTTGTAAAAAAAAATTTCGTAAATTCACAATAATTTTTTACAGTGATATGCCCGTCCCTCCGTCATTTTTTTTACCAAAAATAAACGGGACGGGCCAACAATTAGCAACGGAACCATGGTTAACTGCATGCAGTTAACTAATTTGTTTTTGTCGGAGGTTTTCACGGGTTTCAACCCTGAAACTAAGCTTTATTTGGTTTTAACCAATTTCTAGAACCTAAACGACGCAAACTGTAGAAAATTAAGCAACTCCACTCTCATTCCAGGAACGTGACATCACGTTGAAACGAACGTGACAGAATGTCACGTTCGTTTGAGCATTGTGTCACATTCGTTTGAATGTGAACAAGCTGATTTTTGGCCAATTCACGCCCAAACGAATGTGACACAATGCTCAAACGAACGTGACATGTTGTCACGTTCGTTTCAACGTGATGTCACGTTCCTGGAATGAGAGTGTCTTGGGAACTATTTCCATGTTCGTTTAAATTCCTCGTAAGTCGGCGCTCTGGTGTTGGTAGAGAAAATCTCCTCTTTGATAATTGGGTGAAGCCTTTCACCGTAAGACACACTTTAGTCGGAGCGTCAAAATTCTTCTTCAGCTCAAAAGACACGTCTTAATTTTCTCAAAGTTACTCATTCGGCAACGTTTTCATTTGAATGGTTCGGGACGTGTCACCCGAAGAGTGGCTTCAAGGCGAGACAGCGTAACACAGCGTAACGTTGTTGACTTCCCCGCTATTCCTCTAGAATAACTGCGGTCTTCCAGCGGCGAAGCATATCCGTCTCCAGAAGGTGCATAAGCCGCAAGTTTACACGCAATAAAAAAGATTATTATTTTCAGACTACATGCTTTACCAGAGAAATTTATCACCGGTGCTAAAAAATTATTTTTTCTTTTAAGGGGGGACCCTGGTGAAAAAATCGCCAAAATTCCAAAAAATAGTATTTTCAAAGTTAATAGATAAAAATGTGCATAGAAGGTTTCAGATTCAACAGGTTGAACACCTTTAAGCTAATTGGGTAGTTTCTTTATCATTTGGAAGGAAATAACATTGAGATCAGTTGTCGTTGGCTTCTACGCTCAACTTCACAGCTTTGCTCAGTCGACAAAAAATTTTGTCGTAGAAAGACTTCCTGCGTTCCTGGTTGACACCTACATAAGCCGACTTGCATGGACTCTATTCATTGATGACTTGTCGACAAATTTTAGTGACAGAATCTTGATATCACCCCTACTTTTTTTTAAACACACCTAAAAGTGTGAAAAAAGGGAAAAAAATCAATTTTTTTTTAATGTTAAAATTTGAAAACTCATATCTCAGGACAGAAGTTAAATTTGAAAATTCCGTCACTAAAATATCTTCAATACATCTTTAGGATAACCCAAAAAAAATTTCAAGACTTTCCGTCCCAATGAAAGACGCAGGAAGATTTTTCCCCAACGCTCCAAAAAACACTAAAAAGCCACTTTTCTCAGAGACCGTTCAACATTTTGGATTGAATTTTGTTTTGGGAACTCACCACAATGAAGCTCATAATTAAGCAAAGTTGCAACTTCCTGGGATTATTTTGAAGCCTACTTGAAAGTTTCACCAGGGTCCCCCCTTAAGATATATTTTTAATGCGTCTAAAAATGCATATGCACTTACTAGAAAAATCGTAGGCTGCACACGATTACTAAATCAGTTAAGTTTTTAGAGCCGTTCATTGAAATTAGCTGAGCTTCGAATATTATTTTTGCGTGCACCAGACGTGGTGAGCTGTCTCGGCCTTACCCCCGCGTCCACTGGAAGCTGCTTTGCCTGAGATGGCGTCACCAGGGATAGAGGAGAAGATAGATAGAGGAGAAGATAGAGAGGTGCGCAGGCAGGTGCCAGGTGGCGCGGAGGATGGAGAAAAGAAGAGAGAATCAAATATTGGCACGAATGACAGGGTGATTAAACAGGGTCGAGGAATGGCAAGGCACAAATCCAGATGGTGTTTACCGGTGGCTCCTCCAGCCCCGTGTCAGTCCTGGCCCCCGGCCCGGCGGGCCTCGCGGGCTCCGAGGAGCAAGGCTCTGGCCCGCTTTGTCCTGGACTCGGACAAGCAGGAGCCGATGGCGCGACGGTGGCAGTCGGGTCGTCCTTCTTGGGCTGTTTGCAGGAAGACTTTGCAAGGAAGCGCAGGTGGAAGACAGAGGCGGCGACAAGAGAGAAGCAAAGAGAAGAGAGAGAGAGAGAGACACGAGGTGATTAGAGACATGGATTCACTGTCATTCAACGAGAGTGACGTCATATTCGTTAGAAAGTGAATTTGGTCGCTTTTGCTTCACTACAACGTCACAATCGTGAGAATGTTTATCCATGGTCAAACAAGTGACATCGCATTCAAACGAAACGTGAAAAAATTCTTTTTCTAGCGGAAATGACGGAACATTCGTTGAATAAAAGTGTTGAACAGACAGGTGAAAGAAAGAGGATAGACAAGAATGAGCGGTGTGTAAGATACAGCCAAGTGTGACATTCATAAACGAAAGGAAAAATGGAAAGAGCGGACTTATCAGTATGAAAGTGTGCAAAATCAAGGGAAGCCAAAAAAAAGTTGCCCATCATTTAAGACTTACAATAGAACTCTTTCTGGTCTAAGTCTCCGATTGGGCTAAAACTTTATAAATTCGGAGGAATATGTGGAAATATGGAAGGACGTGCGGAGCCGAAAAGTAATTTCTAATGAAAGAAACATTACAATTAAGTTTCATCAATTGCCCAACTTGGAACGCCAGTCGGCTATTTCTTGGAGGTCTGTGGCAAGGAAATTTGGGTGTCATTCGATGTCCAAAGTGGATTCGGAATTCCAAAGTTTCAGAAAAATCGGAGGTTTACACCTCAAGTGGCTCGCTGGTCAAGCAGCATTTACATTTCTTACTTCTCAATTTGCATGTTTGCTTTGGTATTCAAATTTAATATTGTTCCCAACCGCTCTGGTTCAAGAGGGATGCTGTGGCTGAGAGGTCTGGTCGCGGGACGACAGAGAGCTGAGCGTGTTTCGTGTTTGGCATTGCCGTCGGTATTGCCAACTAGTTAGCGCTAAAAATTAGTTTTACGCGATTCTGCGGATTGCGAACCTCCGGCACGCCGCCACGACGGGGTGCACACTCGCCAAATGATATGCAAATTAGGGGCGGGGCGCGACGAGTACTATCAGTGTATCACTCGCGCGATTCTTAACTGCAGAAAGTTAAAACGAATGGCGAAAGATGGCGAGCTGAGATCGCGCGGAAAGTGGTCAGAGGGGAATCTCATCATCCTTACACTGGGGGAAAATTTATTGCAGTCAGTTTGAAAAGTTGGTTCTTACCCGTGAATCGAGCGGCGCTGGCTTGAGCTCGCTGTTGTCCACCTCTTCGCGCTGGAGACTCAGCATGTCCAGACTGAGGTGCAGCCGCATGGGCTGGGGCCGCGCCTTGCCGTCGGACACCGTCACCATGCCCGTGCGAACCTGCAAAGCGACGAGGACCGTTAGGTGCACTGTGATGCTGCCAACTTATGGACAATGGCATAAAATTTATGTCCGTATGTCCCAAACACTTTACCCCCTAAGAACGACGCGGATCTGTTTGGTTCGTTGGGAACAGCGTGTTGTATAAAAACTTCTTCATAAAATTTTAGGGAATAATAAAAGCTAAAGGCATAACCCCATTAGGCTCTTAAAGGGTGCCTTTGTTTCACCAGTGTAAAAATGCAAGAACACACTTACAATGCACACATGGCCAAGTACAGTGCAAGTGCGTGGCAGAGCATGGAGCACGGGGCGGCTGTGTGTACTTGACCCGAGCGGGTAACCACTCCCGTAATACCCTGTACACAAAAACCGTGTATTACGCGTAATACACGTGATCGTAATACCATTTTTGGGTCAAATGTGCCAAATTTGGGCATTTTAGGGCCGTAATACACGTGTAATACACCCGTAATACAGCGTAATACCGAGTAGTCTGTACACGATTTCTTGAAGTGTTTACCCCCTCGACTTGACCAAGTACGCATTTATAAGTGCGCACTTTTGTTTTCAACGACAAATTTCAGAGGGGAATCCCTGTATTGGACATGCAAGTACGTTAGTTCAAAGCGGACAGTTCGGTTTGTAGAGTAAAACAAAAGCACGGTATCACCCCATGCTTTTAACCGTCATCAGTTTACGCTTGAAGTAAAGCGTAACAAGCTCTTCCGTCCAGATTCCTCATGTCTAAATGCATGGGAAACTTTCAAGGGTATGATTCATTTGAAGCGTCAGGCTATGACTCAAGGATTAAGTCGTAAAGATTCTGTCAGCGAGGCTGTATAGAGCTGCCAAAATCACTTGTTGCATGCGCTGGGGAATCTCGAAAGGTGCACAAAGGGCGTCCGAGAAGAAAAATGTTTTTTGACGGTGCAGTGCATAATTCAGCGGCCGTTGGGCATAAGGACGTAAGTCACATGGGAAACCCATTGAAAATAGGTTGTTCTGTCCGATGACCACTCAATTATGAGCGTATTTTGCGTCTGTGGACGAAATGAAATTGGTAGCTGGGTCGCACACAGCGAGCGCCTCGGAATTCCCTCCGTCTTCTGGTGTGCCGGTCGGCCGGGGCGGGGCGGGGCGGGGCGGGGCGGGCCGGGCCGGGCCGGGGCGGGGCGGGCCGGGCCGGGGCGGGGCGGGGCGGGGCGGGGCGGGGGCGGGGCGGGGCGGGCCGGGGCGGGGCGGACAGAGGGAGGCGTGTTCGTTGACAGAAATGAGCTTTCGGGGCAATCGCGTTGCGAGAGCTTCTCCTGTCACCACTGAGATTCCAAACGCTACAATAAAGCACGTGTGGTGCAGTGCACTGAGATTATCACACCATGCAATACATCAGCATTGCATCAATTGAGGCTATATTCATAGCGTTTGGACTCTCATTGATGACACAATGTCATGAACAAAACTATCCCCCAAATCTCATGAGCCATTGGCTGACCCGCCCGTGGAAAATAAAAACTCAAGCACATCAGACGATAATGTAATTTTTTATTTTATTTTGCAATGGACGTGGCATTGTACACTGCTTGCCACCAGCAGGCGGAAACAAATTCAAATACGGATCACTGTCAGAATTCAAAATGCTTGTCATGGGATCTACCCCACTTAGTCTGGACTAGTGGAGCAGGGTTGTCTTGTACTTCCTGATCCTCAGCCCTACACTGTAGCGGCCATGACCGTCTCGCGCCATCTAGTCAAACGATCAAGTTACGCTGTACTGTCTCCAGGGGCCTGAAAAAAATACCGCTGGGCACGCCCTGGATATTACGGAAAAAGTCTAGTAACCCGACTCTCCTTCGTTTTGGCAGTGGAGGAGTGGAGGTGCTTGCGTGCAACGCAGCAATGTGCAAGCGTATGCCCACCGCGCCGCTGCATCCATATGCAAGCAGTGCCCCAGACGCACACCGCCATTTCGCGCCCCCTGCGGCCCTGCGCCCTGGCGACAACCCTTTACTTGATAAACACAATTTCATTTCCGCCCTCACACACACACAGACACTCACATAGGCTCATGACGCCGCAAAGCAGCCCCCTCCCCCCTCACCGTGTGCATGAGTCCCAGTTTCATCACATACGACCAAAGATGTTACATGAAGTAAAATATCGCTCAACGCTAAAGAGAGGGATGTCTGGCGGTAAAAAACATCCCCTGCCTCGGTGACAAACGATGAGTTAAACGACCAGTCTCAAGTTTTCTGTCTTTTTTTTTTTTTTTTTTTGTTCTTTTCTTTAACTTGGGGTAGAAAGGGCGAGAAAAACAAGCTGGGAATGAATTGCGTTTGGGCTCTGTTATTGTTTCCCTTTCAGCAGCTTTTATTTCTCACAAAGTCTATTCTATTTCACGGCGCGCCGTGGTTCGGCCCAGCGTCCCAGCAATCAGGGGCCGCTGGTGTGGCGGTGAAAGCACGGGCCGATGGGGCAGACCCCTTTCATGATGCCCCCTCTTTCCCCCTCCCCTCTCTATTTATGGGACCGACAAAGCGCATGCATGCGCGTGAAAGGTTTATACTTTTCCAGGTGCCGGCTGTGCGTGTTATATGAATTCCGATGCGGCAGTCTCGCCTTAGCAGCGACATGCGTGCGCCGGTGCGTGACAAACGCTGTTCCGCGAAACGTTTTGTGAATAAAATTGAATGAGTGGAATGGAATATTCATTGCCGACACTATCGCCACAATCATTGGAACGTAATGACATCATGAAGTAAATTGCTATGAGTGTTCAAAAGATCAAAAAGGATTCCTAAACCCTTAATTTGATTAAACTGCCCCATTTGAGTCAAAACAAGCGCAGCTCTTTGATTAATTTAAAATTCAAACGGTGATTGACGAAGGTGCCAGTGGCAAGAATGTTGCCAATCCCTCGCAAATCCACGAGGATTATTCATTTGATCTTTGTAAATTATGGAGAATCTTCGTAAATTAACCAGAAAGTTTGTAAATTTAAAAAGTGCCTTCGGTAAGTTTTTTTTGCCAGCGGTACCTTTTTCTGGAGAATTATTTTTACGGTGAAGAATGTGTAAGCCGTCAATTCGCATCAAAATAATTCAGGCTGTTTTGAAGGTTAATTAGTTTGAATTATGTTTACATGAATACGGCCGTTTTCCCTGCTTGGTTCGGAAAGGCCACATTGCGCGGACTGCGACCGCCCTCGCAGTCGCAGGGAACCAGACCCCAGCCCAGCGGACCCTCATCCCGCGGAATAAGACCTCCATTTAATGAGAACGCAAACAGACACCGCACCACGCCTCACTGCCTCGCGCCACCAATCACGACCCCTCTCTCTCTCTCTCTCTCTCTCTCTCTCTCTCTCTCTCTCTCTCTCTCTCTCTCTCTCTCTCTCTCTCTCTCTCTCTCTCTCTCACACACACACACACACACAACCCTCCCTGCACAATGAGGCCATGCCGAAGGATTACCTTCAAGCAATTCCAAGATGATCAGCATGGGTGTGACTCAACTCACCCACGGCGGACGCTGCCAAAATTGTCGGAACTTCATTTCAAACTCGTCACTTGAAGAGGATTACAACTTCATTATAAATTGAAATGTAGCTATCAAAGCTCCGTTGCTCACGAGGTGGGCCATCTAATCCACCTGGTTTCATGGCATTCTCGTAAGGAAAATTAACCCTTTCCAAATGTCATTCAGTGACAACACTGGTGAAAAAAATAGACGGGACATTCCTGGTCAATTAATTATCAATTACGTGGACCTTCCTCCGGAGGTTCCGTACACGTTTTCGTTTTCCGCCCCAGTTCACAGGAGAACCTCATGGGAACTGCGAAGAACCAGTGCGGAAGGTCCGTTCGTTTCCCATTTTCTGCACACATTCTGGACAAAACTATGAAATTTTTTGCGGTGACGAAAATTTTACTAGTGGAGGGCGTTGAAATTTGGCCGGCAGTGCGTTAGGCGACTCCCGAGTCAACGGCCCCATTTCCAGTACACTGCTGCGGGGCCACGACACGCCGCCATTACCGTGATGAAGGAAACAATATCGTATTAGCCTCCGAGCGACGCGGAGGGTGCCTCGCATGCAAACACAACGTGCGAGGAAGACGGTGCAGTGGGAGGGAGAGACTTCCCGACAATGAAGAGGAAAGCAGGAAGATGATGACGGTACAGGTTAAAGACGAAGATATAAGGAAGACAAACCGAATTGAGATTAGAAACTCAGGGGCAACGTTAGGTAAAAATTGGAAGATCGGTGAGGGAACAATGAAGAGAAGTGAGTACAGAAGAAGTAAATTAAAATCAAAGAACGGAGGAGGTGAAAGTAAGAGGGGAGACGACAAGACGTGAAGGTGAAGCAAGCTGAAGAAACGGAGACAGGACGTGAACGAGGAGATTGGAGGTGCAGTTTCTGAGCAAGAGAAGAAGAAAATACTTAAAGGAAGATATAGGAGGTGAAGTAACGGGGGAAGAAGACGAAGAGAGGTGAAGGGACACGGTGCGTGGGAAGGGGAAAGACAGGAAGAAGACGGCGATGCCCTCCTGGTCCCACCTGTGCGTTCCGGCGCCGGGGGAAGGTGTGGGACATGGTTTGCCCCAGGCCCAAGGTAGGGTGGGCCTTGGTGCGGTAGCAGCCCACACTCACCTGCGAACACAGAGGGAAAGGTAGGAGGTTACTCTGAGAACATGTTCGTTGTCTCTGGATGACAACTTCATGGCCAATTTTTCTGCCAAGAATTTCATCAAACCAGTCGATGACGTAGTTGTCATGGCCATATCCTGTCCATGCAATAAGTATAAGAAAATTGATGAAAATGTCATCAGTTTGTGATGAAACAGTCGTCAATTTAACCACTTATTTTTTTTTTTTAAAATCTTCCTCTATTCCGCTTTCTACCATTTTGAGTGAACCTGCTGGCGCGTGGGCCCCACTGTGGGGGCGCCACTGTGGGGGCGCCAGAGCGGACATGGCAGGGCCCGATTAAAAGGAT